GAAATCGAATTTTCGACCCTTGCCGCGAAATTGAGAATTTGTCTGATTTTTACAGGCAGGCACTCTTAAGCATCTGCGGGTCATTCACACAGAAGTTGAAACAACTGATCAGATAGATATTAGTGACAAAGATTTCTACCTATCAAACGAACGTTTTCTTTTCCTTAATCAGTCAATGTTTTCATAAGGCAAACTGGCAAACATAGCTTGTGAACAGATGAGAAATGACACATTTTTAACTGTTACTGATAGCTGAGAAAAGGTTGAAATATATTAAACAGCCTAAAATAATATATTTAATTGATGATTGAGACTTCAGTGCTCCGGCATCAAGATCTTCGGACTGTTTTACACTTTATAAGAATGTATTTTATACGAATATCGAGGCTGAAATTTACGAAATTTTAAGAATATTTTAAGATTAAACCTGAGGCTGAGATTTTGAAAAGAATATAATTTGTAAAATACAATTCAACTATGTTTTCAGCCAAACCGTATAAAATTTTCCTTCCCTAAACGGCAAAATTAGCTAAAAACCAACAAAAACAGCGCAAGCCGTATGTTCGATGCTGACAACATTTTCTGCAAGCTATGTGCGTCATATCTTAAGATCATCCAGACACTAAATAGATTCGAAAACTGATGTTATACGCTATAACCTAAGAATATTCACAAGAACATTTTCAGCCTAAAATCGGCCGAAAAATAAGAATATTCAGCCTCGGCCGGGAAATCAATATCCTTATATTTTTATAAAAAAAGGAGTGTATAGCGGTTCGTATTGCAAAGTTCAGATGATGGAAACCAGAGAGAGTATTCCTTTTCATTAAGATGCAGTCTGGGACCATGACGCGCACGTTTGAAATTAGAATATTTTTATTTTTATTGTTTAAACGTGGTGATAATCCACGTTTTGGTGGAAACGTTTATCTTAGAAATTATGAAATCAATGGATAAATTGCATGGATTATAATTGTCTACTTGCTGAAAATCCTCCATCTCAGTTTGTAATAGCTTAGGGTATAAAATACCCCATTGTGTAATATTATCGTATTCTTATGATGTGTAGAATCAAGAATATATTCACACGGGTTTTCGATGGTCTCACTACAACCTAAACCTTAACTCCCCCTTAAGAGGCTTACCAATTCGGTGTTCAACTCTGGTTTATAGTACTTGAAGCAAATAGGGGTATTTCTACTTCTCCTGGTATGAAGGGGAAGCTAGAACAACGTACAGAAAAAGAAAAGAAATTAGAATTCGCACAAGCGAGCTCCGCACCACAGAGACTTCATTTTTCGCAATTATCCGATGCATTCTTTGTATTAATAATGGTGGTTATAGAAAATTTGGTAAAAATATGCCAGGTATCTAAATGGGACATGGGAGGATCAGTCAACAAAGATTTTCAAGAATCGAAGGAGGTGTGCGATTTCTGAATGCGCCGATCTTTTACACCATATGGACAAAAGAAACAAAAAAACAAAACAAAACAAAATTAAAAAACAACAAATGGCAACAGCAAAAACCATTTGAAAAGATGTGACTTCTAGCCTGTGATTTGCTAGCTTGATCAAGTTATCTGGCCCAGTATTAAAGAAAAAGTTGAACCTCGTGCTGGAGTTGAACACACTTTGTCAGTTTTGCGACAGAGATTCTGGTTGATCAAAGGACGATCGACCATCCGTCAGACACTGAGGAACTGTCTAATTTGTCGCCATTACCGTGTCTCGTGTAATTTGGATTGGAGTGGTTTAGATAATCGCACTGAAATCAGGTTGAAACCGACACTTAAGTGGCCAAGTTGCAAATTATCGAACATTAGACAGCCCGCTTTAAGGCGTTTAGACTCAAAAGTGCATCGAGTTTTATTAATCAATTTTATAACCAAACTTCAGAAATGCTTAATGCCATTGTTCAAATCTCTTAAATACCGTTGTTAACGATTTTGGGTCCCACGTAGAATTAAATGTTTAATGTTAGCAATTCAAACCTCATTTGTTGAATCCAATCAACTGAAGATTGCAAAAATGTTCGTTTGCCCTCCTACACATTTTAATGAAAATCTTGATTGTTGTCAGACACGTTAGAGGAAATTATTTCCTCGCATTAAACAAACAACTTCAAAGATAATTGGCTTTAAGATGCAATATAATTAACGAATTCAAGTATTAAATCGGTCATTTCCTTTGTTTCCCACCATATATAATTTTAATGGTGAAAGCGACGTTATCAAATTTTCAGTTTTCATTTAGCTGTTGACAAGTTTTTCAGCGATATAATAAGCGTACCGTATTTAACTGTTTAATATATCATTTTAATGCCGGATTTGTTCATTCAACCTACGATGAAAAAGATTGGGTTTTGCTGTATGTATTTGAGGCTTTAAAATAATACACAAATCTTGGCTATTGTTGACATATTTGAAATGCGAAGGTGGTTTGGAGAAAATTTTAATATTGTTCCGTAAATTTCTTTTAGTATAATTTAGGCCGGAACCACACGCTATTAAATTATTAGCTATAGTTTTTTATCCAAAAAAATTGCTACACAGTAAAACTTGTATAAAAGAATTTCCATCATTGAAATACTTTAATATTTCTCTTGAAGACCGGAAACTAAGAATTGTCGTCAAATTTAAGATGGGTTTTGTCAGCACCTAGCAAAGAATGAATCGTGAAGTGTCAATTCAAGCTGGCAGAGTCTTGTGCACGTTCATGATGTATCGCGCAACTTTTGAAATAACTACAGCATATCTTTTGCGCTTCTGGAAAACTAGCGTTCATTTATGTCATGTTTGGGGAAAAAGACCTCTTTCAAATAGTTAAGCTAGCGACAAAAATGAGATCGTGTTAATAGCTGCGTTTAAATAAATGGTAAGTGAAGAATAAAAGGTTTTCAGAGTAATTTGCATTTCTATAGCTTTATCTAAAACTCGGACAGCTGTGTACGCACGTGAATCTTGAATTGATTAAAACTGGGACAATCTTCATCCTTTGTATATTGAATTGGCTTCCGCTTGCCTTTGGGAAAACAAAGCCCTGAAGTCAATTTCGTTCGGCTTATTTATCAATCGTTGAAAGGCGAAGACACCTTCGAGGGGTAGATAAACGGACAAGTGGGGATACGCTTTCACTTTTTCAATATTGTTGGAAACTGAACGTTAGTTCCTCTCGCAAGAAGAGAGAGAGCACCTTCTTCTCATTGTTACAGTGTGAAAAGATCATTGTAGTTTTGCCGTCCATTTAGAGTAGAGACGCCTAATTTGTGCAACATAGTCTCTGTTTACAGATGACAAAGTTGTTGTTGAGTTTTTTCTAGCAGTCTTCTTCAGTCGCGATTCACAGAAAAAAAAAAA